TGCCAACTGGTGGTATCCAGGGCAACACTGGTCACAAGATACGCCGCAGGTGTGATGCTGACAGTCGCACTGCAGCCTGTAAACAACAGAGTGAAAGGGTTAATGCACACACACGCGCACACACAATATGGCGTCTGACTCCATGCTTCATTAAAGTACATTAAAGCCGTACTTCAGCAAAGTACTTGAGTAAAGGTACTCAGTTACAGTTTGATCTGCTTGCCCGTCACCGTCTCCGGCCACCTCGACATCTGGAGGTCAGCTGCTTCAAGGAAACGACATTAAATGGCGCGCTTCCACCTGGTTCGGTACTTCCTGTCTGGGCTCCAGCAGCTGTGCGATCACGTAAAGTGTGAGCGATAAAGCGCAGACAGAGATCGGCTCGTCAGGCGTGTTTACGGCAGGAATGCGCTGGCCTTGAACTCAATCCTCAGTCCTGTGTGTCAGTGTGTGCGATGGCTGTGTAATATCTGAGTGTGCGTTCCTGGCAAACAGCCCGAGGGCGAGTCCAGTGTGTCGCTTCTGCAGACCTCACGCCGCGCTCATCTCAGCGAGCTGAACCAACGCTGTGTGCACTGGATCTCTGCGGAGGCGAGGCCCAGCACGCTCTTCTTACACCGGATGTGTGAATAACGCAGAGCTGCAGCAGAAAGCCAGCAGAGCTTGGTGTGACAGGTGAAACCTGCTGGTCACAGGTAAATATGTGACATCACACAGATGATATTTCCTGTGTGTAACCCTGACGTGTCAGAGGCGCGCTCGGCGCTGCGTGCGCTTTACAGCTGCTCTCAGATTGATGTTTGGTTTCACCTTCAGTTCAGGATCACAGCTCAGGGGCCACATCTGGATTCTTCATTCACAGCTGGTGTGTGTGTGTGTGTGTGTGTGTGTGTGTGTGTGTGTGTGTGTGTGTGTGTGTGTGTGTGTGTGTGTGTGTGTGTGTGTGTGTGTGTGTGTGTGGTCGCGGCACATATTCAGTGATAATCCGTCAGAACCACGAGCGCTCTGAAACTCTGACGTGCACATCCTCAGGAGTCCACCTCGCATCAACGCAGACTCTGCTGTGATTGGCCTGCTGATTCCAGCTGCTTCATTGAATTAATGAGAGAATAACAAACAAAGCATCCGTGTGAGCACACACTGACGATCAGAAGTGTGTCTAACCCGTCAGCGAGGTCGCCTGAGCTCTGACTTGCAGACTGTTTAAAACTCTAAAACGCGAGCGTGCTCTGGAAGCGGCGTTCAGCTCCTTCAGCTGTGGCAAACTGTGGGTATGACGAGCATTCAGGTATTTTAAACAGAGGCACGGAGCAGGCGTGTGGTTTATGTTCTTATCAAAATGTTCAAACATTCCAATAATGGGATGAATGAGGGTCGGCGAACACGTCCGGGAACCAGAGCAGGTCGTGTCTTTGGCTGCGGCGTGCAGGCAGGCGTCAGAGCGATAAAGGAATTCGAATAAATCTCTCCTGACCTCGCTTTGTGTCAGAGCGCAGGAATGCAGAGCAGCGTCAGCCTGGACACGTTTGAAGGCTGCAGGTGAGCAGACGCTGCACAGCTGGGCTCATCAGCAGCAGGTTAAAGGTCATAAAACACAGGAAGGGCTCTGCAACAACACAGACATGCTGCACATGGAATTTCTATTATTTTTATTGAGCCTTCATTTGACGGCAGCCCCGTCTGCTCATCTCCAGCTGCACCACTTTGTCCAGGGACACTGATGCTGCCCCGGAGTTTCATACATTGTTCTGAGCACACGAAGGCTTCAGACTGAGCCCATGGTGGAGTGCCCTCCCTCTCTCCTCCACCCTTCCTTTTCCATCACAGGTGAAGTTCCACGCTTCTCTGACTGATGAGAGACCTGGCGAGCTCAGGACTGCTGCGCTCAGCGATAAACCGCAGTTTAAATCAGGAAAGCCACCAGTGCAGCTGCACGGCGCCTGCGGCCTCTCAGAGCTGCAGCCCCGAGGACCATTTCATACAAACCCCAGCATCAGCTGAACACAACGGCACCGAGTCTGTGAGCCGGTACCTGCCCGCTACACCACGCAGACCGAAACACACTACTTCCTGCTGGGAGCAACATGTGCACTAAACTCGGTAACATCATCATATCTCTTCATTCAGTTTGGCACAAATGTCAGGAGAGCTGTGCCTGGAGCAGAGACACCAACCACACGTCCTCCCTTTCACTCACAGTCTTTATTCTCTTCAGGTTGTGCAGCAGGAAGTTTGCAGCTTCGCGCCTCTACAGATTTGAACTTCCAGCTTTGGACAGCAAATGAAACAAACTGCTGCCTGTTGAAACCACGAAACAGAAATATGAGGGAAAGCTTGAGCTCTGTCACTGATTTATAGCCCCAGAGATTTCCTGACCTCAGGGTTAACAACTGGAAATGGAGCCACCTGGATGTCTTTATCGACTGTCAATTAACGCGCAGCTTAAATATCTCCAGGATGTCGGCGTGACGGCGGAAAGAGTCCCAGCAGCTGCGAGTGTCTCTGCTGTGCATCACATCTCCCCCTCAAATCGCAAATGAATCATGTTTAAAAGCAGCTCCGCACCAAGCTGTGTCCACACTCCCTCAATGAGTCTGTACGTGTGTGCGTGTGCGTTTGTGAGTGACATGATGCATGGGTAATAATTTGCACTGCGCACAGGAAAGAAATGGAAAACAAACAGCAGGACTGCACGTCTGTGCATGCAGAGGAAACAGACGCGTATTCATGTTTCTGTAATGATGACAGCTAAACACCGGCTTAAGTCTTAACACACACACACACACACGCACATGCGCACACGCACACACACACGCACACACACACATGCGCACACGCACGCACACACACACGCGCACACACACACACGCACACACACCCACGCACACACACACACCTATGTCCGTGTGTGTTTTCGTTCTGTGGATTATTATCCTAAAATCTTTGCCTCTCAGTCTCAGGTGTTTCTCTCACATCAAACTACAGCATCACAGTCACAAACACCCCCTCACTCTCCCAGCAGACCGTCTGCGTGTCCACGCTAGACCTGCAGTTCCTCTGCCGTCCAGCGGAGGCAGCAGTGAGTCAGCCCCACAGACATGTTAAACACGTTCACACAAACTGTTTGATCTCTGTGCTGTGGCGTTATCTTTGTGCCACTATTCTGAGCGCACGTAAAAAATAAATGTGCAGGTGGAAGTGTTGCATTTAGAAATTTATTGTGAGCGAAGAAAAGCTGAATTTGAGTGACCAAAATAAATTGCTGCGTGTCTGTGACTGCGTGACTGTCAAAATAATCGTTTGTGGCAGCTCTGTGGGTGACAGGTGAATGAAAGATTTGACAGAGAGAGAGAGCTGTGCATGAAGTGTGATTTTTATCATGGTGGAAGCAAAACAGCAAAGGTCAGAGTGAATCCATGATGACGTTTATCAAACGTGAAGCGTAGTTTGGATCTTCTTTTGCTGCTGGTTCAATGAATTTTGGTTGGAGAGAGATAAAACCTGCAGCTCAGAATCGAGCGTAAAAAAGACGTAAACACAGCGCAGACCCGACGCATCAGAGTCAGCGAGCTGTCGGCTTTCAGCCCCGACGGCGTGTCCGTGTACGGGCCGTCGGGTGAGAAAGCCGAGAAAGAGAACGCTGATTCTGATGCGTCGGTCTGCTCTGCGTTTACGTCTTTGTGTGGGGTCCATTACCTGCTCTCATTCACTGTTTGGTGGTTGTTGAAATAGTTTTGTGAGCTTTAACCTGAGATTCTGGCAAAATTCATTTATATTTAAAAGTCAAATTGGTCGCACTCTAGAGCCCTGCTGTGGATCACTTCCATCTTCACAACACCTGTACAAGGGAACATGTTTCCATGACTCACCTGTTTAAGCTGGATTAAAGTTGTCATATCTGGGGGCGTGGCCTCTTTGAAAGAGTTTCCTAGTTTTGTGGTTTGGACAACTCCAGAGTGATTACGCTGCTAGCTGTAGCTCACCTGTATCTGACATCCAGGCGAGCTTTGCTCAGACGTACGTGGTGACGGAGTTTACTGAGCAGCTGCAGGTTCTGTGAGGCCATGCTGAGCTCCTCTGAATGCCAGCTGTACCCTCGTTTGCCAGCACATGCTCAAACACAGCTAGCATTTATTTCCATCGCAGGTATGCAAATTTATAAGAGCGTGGCACACAGCCAACCCTCACACAGGAGTACCTGACGCCTTTCAGATCACAGCTCCGGGGAAAGAGGTGTGTGTGTGTGTGTGTGTGTGTGTGTGTGTGTGTGTGTGTGTGTGTGTGAGTTAAATCTTACTTGTAGGGGTTGCTGGGGTCTTTGGCGTTGCAGGCCTCAGCATGCCCGTTGCACACACAGCGTCCTCCGATACTGATGTCTTTGATGCTGTAGTAATACTAGAACACAGATCACAGCAGGAGCTGACTCAGAAACACTGCTGGCAGCTTCAGGGTTCTCTGCTGCCTACAGTCACTTCAAAGAACAACAAGACTCATGCTGGACAACTCACACACTGACTCTTCATCACAATTTGACACCAAGTTCTCTGCATCGCTTTCCTAAACGTCCAGATGTTGATGACGTCTCTTGTTGTGAAGGCGTATCACATCCATCCATCCAACCATCCAACCATCCATGCATCCATCCATGCATCCAACCATCCATGCATCCATCCATCCATGCATCCATCCATGCATCCATCCAACCATCCATGCATCCAACCATCCAACCATGCATCCATCCAACCATCCATCCAACCATCCATGCATCCAACCATCCATGCATCCATCCATCCAACCATCCATGCATCCATCCATCCAACCATCCATGCATCCATCCATGCATCCAACCA